GTCCATCACGGGGACGCCTGGACAGGTCTCCAGTCCATCACGGGGACACATAGAGACAAACAACCATTCACTCTCAGCTAGGAACAATGTTGCCGACCAGTGCAGCAGGTACTGGTCGGTACAATCACTTCTAACAGTTTATATTTTTGTTGGAGAATCACTGTATCTGAAATTAAACAAAGTGAGATGGAGACTCGACTGTGTCCTTGTTCATGTGTCTGCGAGGACTGGCCTTCAAACTGTTTCTGACTCAATAAACAATTACAGCCAGTAAAACTGTATTCTGATATGATGCATTTATACATTAAATCTGTTTTCTCAATACATTGAACCATCAAAGTATCCTCTAACGTTTAGCAGAGAGCTACATCTGCTCTGCACAGCTATATTTGAGCTATATTCTGATTTACCTCATTTTGTATTTTGCTTGGTGTGTTACCTGTTGTTCTGTCTGTGTGTGTTACCTGTTGTTCTGTCTGTGTGTGTTACCTGTTGTTCTGTCTGTGCAGCACTTTGGCCTTGTCGCTGTTTTAAGTGCTATAAATAAATTGGTATGGTATGAACTAGGCTCAGTCACAAAATACTAGGACGGCTCTATATTCTGACTGGAACCATTAAACACAAGCCAGCATTACTATACAAACTAATCTATTAGACGTCAGGTGGATACAGAGGCACAAACACATAAAACAAAAGAAACAATAAAATACACATTAGCCGCTATGCTAGCGGGCATTAGCATGCTAGCACAGAAATGCTAATAGTAAAAGTTTTTTCACCCTCGAAACATAATGTACATAAGACTGCTTGATGTAATTTGAAACCATCACGACTACATGGGGACCATATGCATATACTTTACTAACCTGAACTTGGACAAAAGCCAGACTCACTGATGGTGTCCTTGTTGTGAATCTAGAGAACTGCAGGCACGAAGCACCAAGGCGGAAGTGCTGCCCTCTGGTGGTGGAACTCGGTACAGCAACTCAAGTCAAAGGACTTCCCACTCTTTTCACCACCGTTAAGTCAGAGTTTCTTTATTGTCGTTCGCGCCACATGTGGTTCATGTGGTGGAACAAATTTATGTACACAGGTCCCAGTTTAATCCAACAATAAAATGTAAAAGAAAAACAATAATAACACCTAAGATATGGACTAAGAAAAACATCAACTAAAAATACACTAAGCACTTATTGCATAAAAACATTGAACATCAGCACAAACAAGAGTCTGTGTGAGCAGATGAGCACGCATGAACACATCAACATGAAACAGATCAGCAGCAACATGAAACAGATCAGCAGCAACATGATATGATTTTTCACAGTGATTCTCCTGGTTAGAGATTCATGAGTCTAACAGCCTCAGGGTAGAAGCTGTTC